CTTGCAGATCCCTTGTGACACGTTTTGGCCCCCGGAGTGCTGACAGTGAACGTGCAGAGAGGCCGGTTGGTCCGGACCACAGGATGTAATTGTTGGTTTTTCTGGAGGAGCTGCTTTAATTATGAGTTTAGGTTTGCTAACAGCTGACCTGGTCGTGGTGAAGTGTGTGTCACTGTCAGGACACTGAATGCTACAGAAAGAATTTGACGCTCTTTGTTGTCAAATCCTTCCATTATCTTTACCGCTTTTCCCGTTCAGGGTCGTGGTGGTCTGGAGCCGATCCCAGCTGTCATTGGGCGAGAGGCGGGGTTACACCCTGGACTGTTCGCCAGTCAATCACAGGGCTGACACATAGAGACAGACAACCAGACACACTCATTCACACCTACAGAGAATTTAGAGTCACCAATTGAACGGTCAATGGAGGTTCCTGGTTCGATTCCCCGTCTAAAAGGAGTCCCTTTGTGCAGGTTCTCTCCGGGTACTCCGGCGTCCTCCCACAGTCCAAAGACACGCTCGTTAGCTCGAATATGAGATGTAAATGTTCCAGCATCAGCCAGAAACCACGATAGCGTTTTACATTTTGTGTCTCCTGTGTCAAAGCTATCTGAGAGGATAAGATGGCGGATCAAAGCGGCCGAAATGAGTTTCCTCCGACGGGCGTTTTGGCTCGATCATTCACGGGGAGCTCGGAGTAGAGCCGCCCGCTGCTCCTTTGTATCGATCTGAGTCAGTTGAGGTGGTTTGGGCATCTGATCAGGATCCTCCTGGACGCCTCCCTTTAGAGGTTTTCTTGGCATGCCCAACAAGGAGGAGACACCGGGGTAGACCCAGAATCCGCTGGATGGATTATAGACCCCGTCTAGCCTGGGAACGCCTCGGAATCCCCCAGGTGGAGCTGGAAAACGTTTCTGGGGAGAGAGGGAAGTCTGGGGTTGGCCCGGCCTCGGATAAGCAGAAGAAAATGGATGGATAGAATAATAGAATAGAATGACTTTATTGATCCCAAACTGGTAAATTGTGGTGTCACAGCAGCAGAGCAAATAAAACAATATAAGAATAGATACATAAATAAGCACTTAAAAATAAAAAATAAGAAGAGGAAGAGATTTATACATCAAGGATTTAACTTAACATTCCTCCTGGTTAGAAAAAAGAAAAAAGAAAAATTAATACAGCATTTATTCAGGCTGAATGTAAAAATACTTGCTGGAGGTAAGAGGTGTAAGTTAGCACTTACTGTATGCGTCATCATCTCCACTGAAACATAATGAAACATTTAGGTTCAGCTGTAAGTTTACAAAATGACTGGGCATTAAAACCTCAAATCTAAACCTCTTCAAAACGTGTCTCAAGGCTTATTCCTTGCAACATTTTCAAATGAACTCCGTGTATCTGGAGTTTGTCTTTTGCTTCCAGCTTTCATAAAGAGAAAAAAACCTGTCAGAAGAGGATGAAACATTTAGTCTACATAACTCGTTTCTCACACCATCTGTTCCTATAGCTGTTATACACGACGTGCTCCAGCCTGTTCTCATGGGGGTTATTGCATATCGTTGTGGGGATACAGCCGAGGATAAGCAGTATGAGGTAAAAGGGAAAATTACAATATTTCCTCATGTGCTTTACATTGGCTTGTTTTATTGTTTTAAGTTGTTATTCTCTTTTATAGACGGTTTAATGTGTGAAGCACTGAAGTCACCAAGAGGACATTGAAGTGTGCACGCTGCAGAAGACTTTGTGCTGAAACGCGTCCACTGTTGCTCTGTACGCCGCTGCCCTGTACGCCGCTGCCCTGTACGCCGCTGCCTGTACGCCGCTGCTCCATCGAGATAAACATCCTCTGAAGGACATTTAGAGAGCTGACTTTTGTGTTAGTCCTCTTGCGGTCGTACACCTGAAATATTATTCCAACCTTCACAACAGGGTCCTAAGACGCTGACTAGTCTCTTCTCCTCTGTCGCCCACCGGTGGTGGAATGAACTTCCAAACTCCATGTGATCTGCAGAGTGCACCTTTAAGAAAAAGCTAAAGACCCAGCTCTTTCATGAATACCTACTAACTTAATGATGATGGTCTCCATATTATTGATATTAGCGTGCAGCTCAGAGCAGTTGGGATGTGGCTGGGATCGAATCGAATCGTGTTGAATTTTGTCGCATCATGCTGTATTGTACCCCAGTGTATCATATCGTAGCGTGAAGCTAAGCTAACTCAGTTCCACGTTCTGATCAAATAACTTGATTGTCTGCATGTTGTTGTGACTAAGTGCCCGAGCATGTGAGTGAGCGGCCTGAAAGCAGACTGAAAGTGGGTGGGATCAGACTTGTCTCCATATGTTAGACATTATCTGTCAGCTGCTGCATTGTGATTGTTCATGTGCACACACACACACACACACACACACACACACACACACACACACACACACACACCACTTTCAATTACATGGCCCACAAAGTAGGCCATTGATCCCTCACGTTTTCCTGTTAAGGGATGTCAATTTGTGCCTTTTCCTTGCACATTTAGATCAGGTCACTTACATCAGCAGCTGCAAAGGAGGAAAGATCTAAAGCAGGACTCAGTCCATCCATCCACCCCCCCCCCCCAGCCTGTATATATACAGACGTATATCCGTTACAGACGTGTACTCACTGACACGTTTGCACAGTATATGAAGCCGGCAAAGTGTGTTTGCAGACTGTCAGGCAAACAGTACGGTGTTGCTTTCCACAAACACAAAGAAGCTGCCGTGTCTCCTGTTGTCCTTTCCTAATTGGAAACAACACCGTCGTGCCTGCAGGAACGGCGCTTGTCTTTAAATTTAGTGTGTCGTGTTGATCAGATAACTCGATCACATATTAGCGTGCAGCTCGGAGCAGTTGGGATGTGGCTGGGAACAGAAGTAGGTTATGACACATTTGGATGCGTGCAAGCGAGCATGCGGCGGCAGGCCTCTCTGCAGGGACTCGGTTAAACAAGAGACAGATTGCAGACACGGTCCCTGATAGAGAAACAGAATGTGTGTATGTGGGTTTTTTTAGACAGTTTGATTGACACCTGTTAGTCTCAGGGTGAGGAGAGTTGCTTCTTTAACAAAACTCCCTGCATGCTCTCTGTCTTTTTCACACACATTGACATTCAGGGTAAGAGACCCCTCCATGCTAGCTGCAGCAGAGCCTTTAGCCCCAGGGTGAGGAGGGGGGGGGGGCTGTAGTCGCTCTGTGTCCTGGAATGCAGTTGACTTTCTAAATCCCCTCCAAGTCTATCCTGGGGCTGCGGGGCAGGGCCTATCTCAACGTCTCTGCGTCTGGAATCTCTAAGCAAACCCGACTCACCCGGCCTCACTCTGTCGCCGCCACTGTTTGTGTGTGTGGGGTGCAATGGAGGAAGAGAAAGCAGACGAAGACAAAGATTGCTCACTCGGGGAAGGTAACGAGCGTCCTGACATGCCACACTGCAAAAATGTATTTCAGATCCTTTTGGAGGTTTGTGTTCTGTCTGCTGAGTGTGATTTGGTTAGCAGTGGGGGGAAACTGGGAGTTAAAAATAGGATTGGAAGTACATGAGACTTCTGCTGTGCTAAAGTTGAGCATGCAGGGTGGGTGTGGGGTGTGTGTGTGTGTGGGAGGGGGGGCTGATTGTGCTAGTGACAGAGCTCAATCATGACGCACGACCATTCAGTGTCAAAAATGAAACCTGCCTTTATTTGTGTTTCCTGATGACGGCACTAAGTGTGTTGTCGTAGTTACATCTGAACTAAACAGACTGAAAGAGAAAGGACTTGTCAGAGAACAATCTCTACCCTCTCAGCGTGTGTTTTCTTCCCCGTCCCAAGTCGTTGCACTAGTTAAATATGAAGCTACTCCTTTGAGAGGAGAAACACGGAATTCCTTTTTTTTTTTTTCATCTGTAGCTCTCAGCAAGCTTTCAAAGCTTTCAAAGAAAAAACAAGAAGAAGAAGCAGAGCCATATTAAGCCACCCAGCAAATAATGGAAAATCACTTGAAATATCCTCCTTAACTACTGAGGAGCTGAACGCTGATTACCCTCTGAAAGGTACACATTATAGCTCTACCTGCCTGTCAGAAAACAAGCCACAGGATCTGCTCCCTTTCCTGCTTCCTCACCCTCACTCTTCACACTCGAGCTGCTCTCTCCTCCTGCTTCTCTCTCTTTTATTTGTCCTCACCTTGCTTCTCTTTTTTTTTGCAGCGTAGCTTTCAGATTGACGGATTATAAATGTATTACTGTGGGTCCCCTGATGGATCCAAGACTGAGAGCAAAGATGATGATGTGCATGAGGAGGCGTGTTGATTTTTATCCAATTTGATTCCAAAAACAAACATCTTAAAAAAGAATTTGATATGTGACTCTGAAGTCTCCGGCTGAGCCCAGCTGTTTCACACAGTCATCAAAAACAGAGGAAGACATTCCCCTCCCTGATGTTTTTCATTAAATTAATGATTTTGCAAAAGCTCTGGCTCTCACAGATGCTCTGGACATCTTTTTCCAAAGTTTATGCGTTTTGAGTTAATGGCTATCTTTGGCTGTTCTTTAAAAAAAAACAAGATGCTCAAAAACAGCTGTTTCACTTCAGTGTTTTCATCGCCGACACTGTGCCTGTCACATTAAATCGTCGTAATGTGAAACAGAATAAATATGAGACCAAACTCGGGCGACTGCAAAGCAGACGATGTTTATTTTTTGCGTGCTTGTGGAGGGAATATTAACATCCTTTTTGCATATGAAGTCAGTTTCCTCTTTTTGGTTTCCTCCTAACATTGAACAGTGTTTTTTTTATTCCATTCAACAAAGTAACAAGGTCTCACATGGTTGAACTCACCCTGACATGCCCTCTGCATGAACTATGGAGGAACAACACACACACACACACACACACACACCTACACACACACACACACTCTTGTTGTTGATGTCAAAACAATCAGCGGTGCACATGTTGACCCTCGTCTCCGTGTCCCCCTCTGTCCCCTCAGAACAAACAAAAAGCAACCTGAAGGTAACCTCCCCGGAGGACGCCGAGCACGCCGTCCGCAGACAGGCCTCCTCCCCAAATGGGACGCCCCCCTCCAGAGGGGATGCCAAAGGCAGCCGCACGGTCCCTCGGAGACACACGTTAGGGGGCGCCCGCGGCTCCCGAGAGATCCTGGCCATGCAGCCGTCGGACATGGACAAGAAGAGGGAGGCCTTCCTGGAGCACCTGAAGCAGAAATACCCCCATCATGCATCGGCCATCATGGGTCACCAGGAGAGGCTGCGAGAGCAGGTCAGTGGGTTTAAGAGAGTCCTGAGTGTGCAGCGTTTGATGTCTGTTGATTTATTCACCTGTTGTTTGTTTGTTCATACATTTACATGTAACAGCACATTTCAAAGACAGATGTGTGAAGTGCAATATATGAAGTTAGAATCGTTCATTTTCTTAAACATCTGTAATTAACCTCTCAGCACCAAATGCTTGATAATCATATAAACAGCCAGCAAGAGAACAAAACATGAACAACACAACCTTTTAGTGGAAAAGAAAAGAAGAGGCGGAGGCGACAGATAAGGAGAAACCGCACTAATCGCCCTTTTGATTTTATCATGGCTGAGAGGGATGCATTATTAGGGGTGTGTCTGATCTGACTGACAGGCGAGGAGCTCGTCGTCTTGTTTGTCTGGAGGCTAAAGGACGGTCTCTTTGCCCCGTTTCTATGTTGACAGAAAGTTAGCTTGAGACGGTATTTTTCCAATATTGTGACGCCATGTTGGGCTCCAAAACTCTGCCATCAGAAACCAGCGGGTGACGTCTTCATGTTTCTATGGTCAGAAGGAGGTTAACTAAATATCTTAAGGAATGGACACAACTCACACATAAATATGTAGAATCTATTAGTAGTAACCAATATGTAGAACCTCTTCTTCTTCTTCTTCTCTTTTGTGTCCACCCTCGGAGTTGCAGGTATTTTTATTGTCCCTTGCAGACTGAGGCAGCAGCACATCAGCTCCAAAACAATTTCCTCCTGTTTTCTTATTTTTTTTGTTTTGCCGCGGGGTTAAATGTGAAGTCTGTCCTATAAATCTGCCTGTCAGAGGTTTTCCCTCCCACAGCCGCTGTGAAACACTGAGGTTTTAGTGAGGCGGTAGAAGAAGAAAACACCAGCACCACAAACTAAATCATCCATACAGTCTGAAGCCGGTTTAGATCTCCATAACTGCACTCGTGTATAGTTTGATGAGCTCTAAAACTGTGAATAGAATTTGACTCAGTGTTGTCTGTCTCCTCGTTCCTCTGCTTTTTTTGAAGTTTAGTACCCTGATGACCGGGGGGAGGGTGACCCAGAGGGAGTCACTAGAAGGTGGACACTCAGATCACCTGGTCATTGTGTGTTTGTTTGCTCCGTGTCAGAGGAGACAGAAGGGAGGGGCATGCTGGCTTTTGTAGCCAAAACAATTGAAGTAATGGTGAGACTGGCACCGAGCCACAGGGGAGCTCCAGGCATTGTGCAAGAGGGATTTTGTGTGCTTTCTTTTTTTTTCCAGACCAGCCCACTCAGCTCTACCTGCATGCAAAGTTAACCCTTTTCATGAGGTGGCCTACTGATTCAATCCAGCACTCCAATTTGCATTGGTGATATCAGCCAGCAGGGGTGAATGTGTTTTATAATTCTACTTGTTCATTATTTAATCAACAAGTGCTCAACATGAGGTAGGCTATTCACTGCAGAGGGAGAGAAAGGAGGAAAAGGGTTTGTTGTGAAATGTAGGCAGTCAGACAGGTAAGTTCGGCTCCGGATTTTTTGGGGTGGAGTCAGCGTTGCCATAGTGACTCGTGATGTCACCGCTGGAGGGGGCTCAGTTTACGTGTAGGTGCCTGCTGGAGCGGACAGGCTGGGAGGGAGCTGTGCGAGTGTGTGCAGGGGGAAAGCTTTCTCTGCAGAGAAGAAGGCGATGGACCTGAAGACTGTGTGGAGGCATGGCGCTCTGTGCGAGAAGTCCGCGGAGGAATAGAAACTAACTTTTTTTAAGAAGAAGAAAAAGGAATACACTGATCGCCCCGGCGCCTTCAGCTCGAGAGGAGAGGGATTAAAGGTAGGAAACTATCGGACATGTGTTCTTCTTTGCAGTCGGCGCACTAAAAGACTTTTTAAAAACAGCAGGGGAACGATTACAAAATGCATCGACTGCTGCTGCGCGTTTTTACGCAAAGTTGCGCGTACGGGAGATGTTTGTGTGCGAGCAGGCTGCAAGGTGCTGCAAACTTTGGGGGGAAGGGGGAGAGAGGGGGGGGTCGCTCGTCAACTATTTGAGCGCGACTGCTTTTTGAGTTCACTAAAGGTAGCCTTGAGGTTATAGGTAATAACACAATCACCTGCAGCTCCCCGGCATCCTACAGATGTCACTCATAATGTGAAGAAGGACTCGTGAGTGGAAGTTGAGGTTTCCACACTGAGGACGTGGTTTTTTCTTTGCACGGTAAAGATGGTGTTATGATCATGGAGAGATGGCTGATGATTGGTTATAAGTTCCTGCTAATGCTGCAACGTCATAGTTACGTTTCTGAATCCGAAATCTCAAAGATTGTTTGTGTTATTATTATTTACTGAATAACTTTTACAATCTCTGCCGTGCCACATAGAACCTTCAAAGGATATTATTATTATTACCATGTGACTTCCCCTGTTGAATCTTTAATTGTTGATGTTGCATTTTTAGCATCTCCCTCCTGGCATGCATAAAAAACATGTTATGTCATTAACTCGTTTCAGTGGATTTAGGACGTTTTTGCTTGTTTGTTTTTTTCTTGGATAAGAAGCTTTTTTACCTTCCCCTCTGATAATGCATCCAGGATAGCGTGGAGCATTTTGTGTGTTTTTAAAGCCAGCTCACACACTGTTGGGAAATATGTTATAAGGAGCAGCAAGGGGGAGACTACCCCCCCCCCCTCCTCCTCTGCCTGTGTCGTCCTCATTAGCAGAATATATTTCAGGCAGTGCTTTCTTAAGTTTTATTCCAAATCAGCTGTTTCTATAACTCTTTGAAGTTCCTCCTTTTAGCTGCTGAGATGCAGAAAGAAGCTGATGTGATTTATTGGTTGCTGATTGTCACTTTTTAACCACACAACACTTTCACATCGACCTCGGGGCGACACTCCTCCTCGTGTGTTATTCAGATTTGTGGAGTGAGGTTTGAGCGGTGAGACTTGAACGCATCACATCGAGGAAGAAGATAGAAGACACTGTCACACACAGCAGGCAGGCGGGGCGGGGCGGGTCCGGGCACGACTTTTCAGGGGAGTAAATGAATCTCTTGGAAATGAAAAAAAAAGAGATGATTGACAGCTTGATTTGAGGAGTCTGATTATAGGATGTAAACAATGTAACTGTTGATTTAAGCAGCTGAAGATGAAAGCAAAACGAAGCCTGAAAAATGACAAGTTCATTGAAGCGTCTGTCAGGTCGCTGGTAAAAAAATGATTCCGCCGTGAAGATAAACAGCAAGAAAACAAGTCGAGCGGCTGTGTGTGAGTGTGAGAAAAAAAGCGTTCACACACTCGTGCGTCGCTGACCTTACAGGAAAGGCAACATCAGTGGCAACAGTGCGTGCTTCAGAAGTGACAAAGAATCGTCTCTCCAGAGGTTTCCAGTTACAAAGGCGGAGATTAATCAAGGTCAGGCGGAGGTTGGGAAGATGATATTCCTTCAGTTTGAAAAGAGAGGATGTCCCCACTCCTAGCACACACACACACACACACACACACACACACACACACACACAGGCTTATTCTTTTATAAGGTACCCCTCAATTCGTCCCTCTGTGATCTTTAAATCCTCGACAAAAGCGAGAAGGTTTTCATTTCCTCCTCTCCTCATCAGGCCTGCAAAGACCTGGATCCCACCCAAGGGGGGATGAGATAATATCCCATTGGTCTTTACCGCCACCCGTCCTCTCACCCCTCTCTATCTGTGCACGGGGGGGGGGGGCTTTCACCAGCACAAACGGAACCGCTCCACCGATCACAGAAACACACATGCACACACACACACACACACACTCACTCACACACACCGAGTCTGTGTCTGTGTGTGATGAGCTGTGACTTACAAGGCCAACGGTTTCCCTGCAGAGAGAGGAGGAGCCGCCATGTTAGCACAGCTGTCTGTCTGCAGCTGTGGACAGACAGACACACGTTAGAGAGAGAGAGAGAGACAGGTCAGTCAAAGCTTCATGTGATAATCCTCAGGATGCTGAGTGCACAGGTTCAGGTAACAGTGTCAGGGTGGGGTTTTTTTTTTTGACAGGCACTTACGATGTTGTTTTTGGGTTAGTTTGTATGTTGGATCTTTCTATGCACCGGTCAGAATCGACCAATGAGAGTCGTCGATTTTAAATTATAGAGAGAAACTTGTGATGCACAAATCAACTTGTCACTCAGATCTTTTAGAATCACAATGAGCTAGTTATTGCACTTTTTGTCACAAAAGCATCGTAATGTAAAAGTACGCTCAGCAGGCATGACGTCTTCTTTTGATTTAATTTTTTATATTTAATTTTTCATTTTTGTTTTACAAGAAACACAGAACAAGTGAGGACTGGGGCGAGACAGTATGAATAAGATCAAATACAAGAATGTAAAAGGCACAGGTACAGAACATAATGGATGCATTCTAATGAAACCAGATCTATTTAGGAGTCTTTATCTTTGTATAAATCACATTTTCTCCAATATTCTTCCTTTTTGAAGTCGCAGGACAAAAGTCATTTTTTTCCATAAAGCTGATAGAATTCACAATGTTCCTCACGAATAAGTAATCGCTTTTTTACTTTTAAAAGGTATATGTGCTTTTTACCAAGACCTTCAGGATTTTTTCCTGAGGTAGAGGGATGTGAAAGAGAAATCCACTGTGATGTTCAGAGTCTCTGCGATGAATAGTTTCACATCTTTCCAGAAGCTCTCAAGACCAAAAAAACATGTACACAGCTGGCATGACGTCTTTGTACCTTTTTAAACACACAACCACACAATTTCAGTATTCACTGGTCATAATTTCAAACTGCTTTTTTTGTGTGTACTGTAACTTCAATCATCTCCAGTTATCGTCTGTGTGCAGATCGTTTTGATTCGTTTGCAGGGAGTGTGCAGAAAATATTCTTTGTAGCCGATGTTATCAGACATTTTCAAAATGTCACTCTATAAGGTTGGGATGACCTTTACGGCTTTTTCCATCAAAGTCAGACTTTAACTTTGCAGGATGGAAAAAGAAGAAGAAGATATAAGATGATCA